GACAGAGAGAGGCGTTGAAATACTGCTCCAACGGAACTTATTGTTTTCGGAGGAAAACACGAACACAGCGTACAGTCGAGTCTTAATAGCTTACTTACAACTGGGCTCGTCAGGCACTCTTCTTGGCTGCAGTGGTTATTATTATATTTACATGCTTCCAGCTCCCGTTTCTGCTCGATGACAACTCGGAGTTTTCCACTCCCCTTTTTCTCCCTCCTCGCGCTCACAGACACATAACGTGTATGGCAGTCCATTCTCCCTGCAGCACGGACTATACTGCCCATGATGCTACATTCTTTACAGCATTTAGCATTCTGCCTATTAGCTCAGCACAACAACAACAACAAAAAGGCGCTCTCTCACCCAGGAAACACGCAGAGAAAGAGCGTCACCCTGTAACCATGGCAACCGTAACGCTGCCACCTGGAACAACAGAACGTAGCTGTCAAACAAAACCCAAACAGTCCTGACCCGCCACAATATGAAACAGGAAAGTACTGCCGTGTAATCCATTTATCTCAACAAAGTAACTGTATTCTGAATACCACCTTTTTAAACGGTAACTGTAACGGAATACAGTTACTCATATTTTGTATTTTAAATACGTAACGGCGGTACATGTATTCCGTTACTCCCCAACACTGTATATATTTTCCTTTTTTGTTGTTAAATGTTTTTTGTCTAATCTAATTTGCGAACAGAATGGAAAAGTCAGAGAGAAACAGACCTAAGTGTAAAATGTTCTTGTTTTTTACCTTGTGTTCCTTACAATTTCAAAATTGTTAGATTACTATTTATTAAACTGAAGATGTCAAACAGTGTCTGTTAATGTGAGGTTTTGTGATTTAATAATGATTCAAATGTCATCTGTGCAATATTTCACCACTGTATATGTGTAAAATGTGTATATATTCTGTTTCCTTCTTTATATAATCTCTTGATAATAATCTCTATTGTTACTGTTCTATATATTTATTCTGTTGAATAGATGTAGCAAATTCCTTGGCACCACGTTATCTTATCTTATCTTTTAAATGCTCACTTGTAGCATGTTCGTAAATGATTCAACTTTTGATCAAAGCACCACTGCTCAGTCACAATCCACACTGTTACTGCCAGAGGCTAAAGACAGAAGAGTCACCAGCATTGCTCAGGGGGGCAGGACGCTGCTGATGGAACAGACAGTCCATCTCCCTGGTCGATGTGCTATTTATTTGCTGAAATTATTTAATAAACTACATTTTCCAGACATGCATAGGTATTTGCACGCAGTGAAGTTAAGACAACCAATGCAGGAAATATTGGAAGTCTGGTTGTTCTTGATTGCATCACTGCTTGGATGTTTTTGTGGATACTTGGATCATAAGTTAGCTAGCTTTTCCTAACAAATCCCTATTTTAATTTCCAAACCTCTTTGACAAATATCAGAAAGCCTCTGGGAAAAAAAAAAACTGACATTTTCAGTTTTAGTAATTCTTAGAAAGAATGACCATGGCTGTGCTTCAGGAAGTATAGCTGGTCATCTACTAATCAGTTCAATCCCTGACTGCTCCAGTCTGCAAGTCAAAGTGCACTTGGGCAAGATACTGAACCCTGAGTTGCATCCGCTGTGTTCACTGGGGTTGAATGTGTGTGAATGTTAGATAGAAAGCACTTAGACATAGAAAAAAGTGATTTTGTGTGTGACTGGGTGAGAGAGACATGCTGTATAAAGTGCTTTGAGTGCTCAGGTACTATATAAGAAAATTTCCATTTACCATTTAGACTAAAGGAAGATCTGAAACTGAAATGATTTAGAATTTTAACTAGCTTAAGGTGGAAAAAGTGACCTGGTTGAAAAAGATCTGACTGCCTGTCATGGGCATGTCATGCAACCAAGACAAAGGGACAAACCACTTCAATCAGACATACAGACTTGTCACAACAGGGAGATGTAAAGGTATGCTTTAATACAACGGGTCCATCAATTCTTTTCCTACTGTGACAAGTCAGCATCTCTGCTGGGAAACGGATTTGTTGACTAAAACATCAGTGTATGCTTTAGAGTACCACACTGACCTTATACATGACCAGTTTAAACAAAAAAAAAACAGAGCTATCATTTCCTCATTCCTCCTTATTTCTTTTTTATTCCTCCTTGGGGACCTACGTTATTGGAATGAAACCTCACAGAGGATAGCACAACGCACCTGGGTTTTTTTTTCCACTTGTAGCCATGCCATGCCATTCTGGAGATACAGCAGCTTTTAAAACATATGCATTAGTACTCTTTTTAGTCTATACTATTACTTTAAATGTGTAAAAAGTTCTTAGATTTAAGTGGACCAAACCAGACGAAGAGCTATAACTAAACTGAACACAGCACTGTCCAGATATTTTGTATGTGACAAATGTTTCTGGTGAAACTGCAGTCGAAGACTGAACGTGTGAGCTGCGAGTCACTGAAAAAATCAAGAAGAACACTTGTCTTAGACACATTTATGTGCTGCTTTCTTCCTTTAAAGACGGCAGGCAAACAAACACAAAAGACTGGGAAAGTTATGTAAAAAAAACAAAAAAAAAAACACCCAAACTAATTCTTGACGGAGCATGTCACAACTAAACTGCGAAGAATTTGACAACTTCTTTTGTAATCTGCCGTCAATAAATCATTAAGTTTCTGAAGCTTGAGGAGTTTCTGTGTGGGAGTTACAAAATTGGAAAGTAATGCTGAATGGATGTGAATACTTATGATTTTTTGGCCATCTATTCAACTAAAAAAACATTTTGGATGAATTAAGCAGAAAATTATGTCCTTCTGTGTTTTTGGAAAAGGTAGGAGCAGCATACTTCAGGCTGAAGAGGAGCAGGATTATCCAGAGCATGCATCAGAGCCTGATCTGACGGTACGATTATGCATCAGTGGTAACAGTCACGGATATTTGGATGTCTGTGAAGGCACCGTGAATGCTGATCAAGACACGTTCAAGGTAAAAAGAAAGTAAACACATATCAAGAAAACAATAAAAATAATCTGGTCTCCAGCAGATCTTAAAATTAGGCAAATAAAACCCCAGATGAGCTACAAAACATGACAGTAGTTTGCTGGTCTGGAGTATCGGGGCAGAACACAGCATATCAGCATAAACAGCTCGTACCACTGGTCAAGCAAGGTGGTGGTGGTGGTGCAGCTACAGGACCTGAGCACCTTACAGTTACTGAGTCAGTTACTCTATAAACTCCTCTGTTTACCAAAGTATTCTAGAGTCAAATGTGAAGTCCTCGGTCCAACAGCTAAGACTTGTCCTACACTGGATCATGCTGCGTGACAATCATCCCATGCACAGCAGCAAATGTACAATAAAATGACTGAAAACGAAAAGCATCAAAGTGTTGCAAAGACTCCGTCAAAGTCCAGAACTCAGCCTGATTGAAATCATGCAGCTGAAGCGTTGAGCTTTGATTATACTTTCCGCATCCGTGAGCCTACAAGGGTCCGTTCAGGTCAGAGTGACGGAAATTCCATCATCAGATAATCAGTTTGAAGGTCTGTGCCGATGTCTGAATGCCTGCCACTGTTTTTGAGACCATGTGTACCCATCCACATAGACTTTACAATACAGTGCGACAACTGCACATGGGCCTGTGGAGGCAGACTTCAAAAAAAGTATAACAGCAATGGCTACTCAGCCACCGTCTGCAGAAGGGTTATAATCAAAACTGTGCCGGCAAACTTCAGTGAACTGAAAGAGTATGGTAAAGAAGAGTAATTCTAAAAGCTACTGAATTTTGGCTTTTGTTAAAACAGCAGCGACACTGTGTGACATGTTTTGTGCTGCTGTTCATTTGAGCTTGAATTTACCTCATTTTAACATCTAGTAAGAAGTAGAAAATTTATCTTATGTTGTAATACATAAAAACAGACTGACAGATAACTGCCAACTCTTATGTTCATACCAAGGGGTGCAATTTACAGTCACCAGTTAGCCTAACATGCTTGTCTATATACTCTAGGAGGAAAAGCCACACAGGGAGAACATACAAACTCATCACAGCTCAACAGGAGGCTCAAACCAGCAGTTGCGAGTTGCAGTTCTTGCCATAGCAAAGATGTGTTTAAACACATAGCTTTTTTTTATATATTACAATAATAAAAATGTTTATTGTGTGTTATATGGACGATTTACACATCTAAAACAAAAGTGTACATATTTCAATTTGGCAACTTTAAACAGCAGTCACTTAAAATCCTTACTTGGACTACTAGGATTCATTGCTTCATGCCTACAGGGCATTCACTGGTTTGAAATGCTCAGTTTAGGAGCATTTCAAAGTGTGTTGTCAGATTTGTCAAAGAAAGGATCCGCGAGTGATGATGAGCGTAGTGTGATGAATGAGGCTGTAATTCACAGACTGAAGCATCAACAGGACATTCAAACATTTTGTGTTCGCATGCCCTGCCTTCATCTCTGTCTCTGTTTTCGTCCATCTCCCTGCTGATGTGTCTTTCTTTGCTGAGAGTTTGCTGCATCGCAACGCTCAGTTGTTACCATGGCAACAATGGAGAATTAAAAAAAACACACTGGGCTCTTTTTTTGTTGTTGTTGTTGTTGCTTTTGATTTGTTTTTTGTGATCGCCTCAAATTCAAACAGATGTGGCGAGGCTGTTCCGCTGCAGCGTAGGAGTCAGCTGCTAAGAAAGAATCTGACAGACAGACAGACGAGAAGCTGTGACTTCATCAAACACACACACACACACGCTCTCTCTCCCGTGTTAAGTGATGTTGCACGCCCACCGTTGCCCGCTCATTTTCTGTCATTTGTCTTCCCCTCCATCGTCGGTCCGTGCCAGCATCACCAAGGCAACCGGTCAACCGCACTGATGCCGTCCCCGAGGCTGTCAGTCTTACAGCAGCTCACGGATCCTCACAGCGTGATCACCAATTATCGATAGTGCTATTGCATCAACACACTGACATTACATCATCAGCCAGCTGACTGCGTGATCTGTGTTTACTCACATTCCTCTGAGCCGGATCAGGACCTGGTTGTTGTGATTCTGCTCCAGAGCGTCCCCAAAGTCCTGCACCTCCTCAGACTGCTGTTGCTCCTTCTGCTCTTCCTCAGTCCGTGACATCTCCTCACGCTGCACCTCCTCCTGCTCCTCCTCCTCCTCCTCCTGCTCTCGAGGTTGCTGCTGTTGCTGCAGCTCCTCAGTCTGCTTTACCTCCTCCTCCTTTTGTTGTAACACCTCACTTTGCTGCACCTCCTTTTCTTGTTGCATCTCCTCAGTCTCTTCCTCCTCCTCCTTTTCAAGGTGCTGTAGCTCACTTTCCTGCACCTCTTTGATCTCTACCTCCTCCTCCTCCTTCTCTTCTTCCTGTACCTGCTCCTCTTGATGGCCCTGTTCCCCTTCTGGCTTTAGCATCTGCTCAGACAGCTCGTCCTCCTGCTGCTTCAGAACCTCCTCCACCTTCTCTTGTATTTCCCACTCATGCGCTGCAACCTCCTCTTGTTCTAGCTCTTCCTCCTGCCCATACACATCTTCAGTATCTCCATCCTGTTGCTGCACTTTCTCTTCCTCCAGGTCTTCCTCCAGCAGATGGACCTCCTCCTGCTCCTTCTCTCCCTCTCCCTCCTGGTCCTTCACTTCATCTTCCATCTCATGTTCTCCCTCCTGTTGCTGCAACTCCTGCTCCTCAGCCTCCAGCAACTTCTCAGGCAGCTGCGCCTCCTCCGCGTCCTCGTTCATCTCGGTTTGTGGCAGAGCTCACCGAGCAGAGTTCAGTCTCTGTGAAGTGTCCGGACGTCTCTCAGTCCGACAGAGTCGTGAAAACATCAACACTGATCGGAGCCTTCAGTTCAGCGAAACTTCATCCAACTTTCTGTGGTGTCACCTGATGAGCCCGGCCAGTCCAAAGCGCTGATTTCGGACTGATTGGTAAGGGAAGTGGAGGGGTTAAAGGTCACGAGAATTTGGAAGGAGACAAAACAGGGAGCATAAAAACAGCAAAACACGTCTCACAGAGATCTCGGAGCGCAGTGCCAGCTCTGTGCGCCGACACTGCAGTGACAAAATGATCCCACTGAATGTCCCAGAGCATCGCCGTAGCAACGCAAGGAGGAAGCCGACCAGCAATAAAGATGGGATAGAGTAAGGGAGAGAGAGAGAGAGAGAGAGGAGTGATGGAGGAGTACAAAAGAGAAGCAGAGAACATTGCAGTGCGTTTCCGTGGTAACCCAACAACGGTTGCCAAGAGTGATGGAATTCTGCAGCCGACAGACTGCCCTCCTCCTCCTCCTCCTCCTCCTTCTCCTCCACCTCACCCCCTCCCAAATTCAAATGCACATAACTTTACGCTCTATTCAGATACAAACAGCAAAGAGGCACATTAATCTGTCCTCCCCTCACTCACCCGCAGTGCCTGCCAGAAAGACTGTACAGTGAGATGTGTGTGTGTGTGTGTGTGTGTGTGTGTGTGTGTGTGTGTGTGTGTGTGTTGTTGGTTTTTTTTTGAAACAGTGATGATGTAATGGTCCTGAAAATGAGAGTCACAAATCCTCTCCAGTCAAGTGGTACAATCTCACAGTCGGTGTAAAGTGCTAATGGCTCCCTCTAGAGGCTGAAAAGATTATTACAGCCATAATTTCCTCATGGATGTAAGATTTTAAAGCTTTAAAAACAGCAATCTTTCCTCTGTCTTTAGCCACACAAATGTAAGGACATGTTTCTGAGTGGCCCTTAAGCTATGTGTCCAGTATATATAATATCTCTAACAGAGGTTCCCAAACAGTTTCCTGGAGGAGGAGGCCAAAATCCAATGGCCAGATGTGACATGGGATTTTGCAATAACTGTATAGCATTAGTGTAATTAGATCAAATATTATGAATTCACGTTTAATTTGTTATCCAAATCAATTTTCCTAAAAAAGTGTTCCAGTGGCAATTTGGTGGGAATTATGTGATCACGATAGATCAAAGTTTCTGGTCATGGTCAAATAATCGGCAAAATACCCTCATAATGTGACATAATTAACCATATAATCAAGCAGAAGTCTAGCCACAATGGTAAATTGACTGATTTTCTACTCTACTATACAACATGCCACATTCACCCAATCACACAAGCACTGACTCTAAACTGAGTGCTTTTCTGACGACATTCACACAAATTCACTGATGTTTCTTGCACAAGGAGGAGCCAGAGGTTCGAACCACCAACCTTCCGATCAGTAGGTGACCTGCTCTACCTCCTGAGCTACAGCCACCCCATGGCTGTACAATGTATGTTAAATCAAGTTGGAAATTTCACCAACCCTTATGGCTGCTTCTTGGTCTTAACGTGCCAAGCAAGTTAAAGAGCTACTTAGAAAGCAAACATTGATCACCTCAATTGAGCACTAGTCTCCACCACAGGCACCAAAACTGCTTGGTGGATTGTGTAATAGTGTGCAGCAGGGGTGGCAAAAATACAGAAATTCTGTACTTAAGTAGAAGTACAGATACCTATGTTAAAAATAAAGAAAGTAAAAAGTAGCTCCTTGAAGGACGTTTCTACCAGCTATTTTTGTGTAAAGCTAACCGAAACTTGTGTTATATTAATGTAATAATAAAATAATATTAGTAGATAGGAATACAAATTTTAATTTAAACTAATTTTTATTTCTAATTGTACTGAGCTTGAACTTGTTAAATAGAACATGAGCAAAGAAAAAGACGGAAAATAAAAGTAACTCTATTTTCTGTTGCCTACGCTGTAGAGAGTGACTTTGTGTCTAAACAGCAAAATGACGGTGGGGGTGGAGGAACCCTAAAATCAGTTGTAATGGCTCATTATGGTGAAAAGAATCACAGCTCACGATCATTTCTATTCAGCACTCCAGTAGATTTTCTTAATGCACAGACTGAGATCAGCTGACCTGCTGCTGCTGCTGCTGGTCTGAGGTTTACTGCTCTTTGTAGATTTACACTAAACTGAATTCAAGGAGATGTAAGTTATAAGTTGTCCACTAACAGAATTTTTTTTAACATTATACTGAATAAAGCTGGTCTGAAGATGGAATTCAGTGAACGAATCTAAGCAACGTGATGTAACCTAACTCTGACCATGAAACCACAGCCACTGTGCACCAATTGCACACTTTAAATCCATCACAGTACAGCAAACTAACCTGTTTATCCTGCACTAACCTGCAGAGTATAACTACCTTCATATAACACAGTCAGTCTACCTCAGTTTGATTTACAGCATGTTTCGCAATATGAAAAAACTTAATGTGACACATACAGACCCAATATCTGATTTAAAAACATGAGGACTTACATGTAAGCTTTAAATTTCCAATTTATCAAGTCTTTCTCCTTCCTCTCCTGTCCTGTCTTTCTTATCTTTCTCCATCGCTGACTGAAATGAGCTCACTCTCTTTTCTCTCCCTGTGAAATGCATCAGCTGGACTTTTACCTAGCAACACACTGTATGACAACTGCACACAAATTTGTTTGTGTTTTTGCTGATGTTTGTTGAATTTAGAAATGCTGAATCTAAAATTACCTGCTACAAAATGTTATTCCCTTAATGTTTGCTCCTCTTCTGTAGCGCTAGCTAGATGCTGAAGTACTGTGACCTTCAGTCGTTTATGGGAATTTTTTACTATTCTTCCAGATGTTGGACGTGGACGAGAAGTCTCCACTCTAATTTATCCCAGAGATTTTCTTTCAGGTTGACGTCAGGACTCTGTGCAGGTTAATCTTCCACACCACGTCTTCTACACTAAATTCACTCTATGTCTTTATGACATAGAATTTAAAAAATCATAAAGATATTTATTACATCTATTAATTTGAGTCTTTTAACATGGGAGTTTGTTGGGAATGGGGTAGGGTTAGGGTTAGGATGACAGTCTCAAGTGGCCAATAGAAGAACTGCAATAGCTATAGCTTTGTTTCTAGAGCCAGAATTTGTCACTATGTTTGTTAAGTAGGATTTCTTCTCCCCCAAATGTCTGCAACAGGTTCATTTTTCATCCCTGCATGCATCTTACACAGCAGCAACAACATTCTTACCAGGTGTTGTGGGTTTTCAAAATGCAGAGGTTGGTGGGTCCATAGACAGGGTTTTCAACACTGCACCCGCTCCTCATTTGATTCTGCAGCCGATTCACAGCTGAGTGACCTGATGAGGGGGAGAAAGGAGAAGTTTGCTTTAAAAGCCATTGGTGATATTGAAAATACTGAGTTTGACAGATTTTTTTATACTTTAAAAATGTGTTAAACAGAGAGTTTCTAAGTGGAATCCTGTTGTTTTAGAGTCTGTCCATGCTTGTGAGGTGAAGGGTAGGATTATAATAACTGTGTCCATGTTCTCCAAATGAGCTGCTCTTGTGGTTGTAAACAAGCCCTCAGGGTAACAGTTTTCCCTCTGATTGGCCAGCTGGCTAATTGACTGTTAATGGTTTCTTCACTATAAGCACCAACGCTAAACAGACAATTAAAGATGACCATGTGGGCGACTGGAGGAGTATGTGTGTGTGTGTGTGTGTGTGTGTGTGTGTGTGTGTGTGTGTGTGTGTGTGTGTGTGTGTGTGTGTGTGTGTGTGTGTGTTTCAGTAATATATTCAGCTTTTTGTTTGTCAAAAGGCTTTTTAGGCAACAAGTAGCTCATGAACAGAGCTGAGCAACATGTTAATTAACTGTCAGACAGACACTTTGACAAATAAACCATCTGAATTTTATTAAGTGGACCTTAAAGGTCACTTTCAGATTTTAAAAATAGATTCTGTTTATCAAAACTTTATGTTTTTTATAAAAAAATATTTTAAGAAAGATAAAGCTGGAGCAAAGATGTGGAGTCACTAAAGGTTACATAAGATCTTTTTACAATCACATCAATATGCATTTGGACAATAAAGTAATTTTTATAGCTTTGCCTCTGTACATCACCACAAGGGATTTCAAATCAAACAATCAAGATGTGGCTGAAGCGCAGACTTCAGTTTTTCTGTCAGCAGCTTTTATAACAGTATTTTTATAACTGTTAGAATTACAGACATTTTATACAGAGTCCATTTTCAGAAGTTCAAAACCATTTAGACAACTAACTGATCTGCAGTTTAATTGCCAGATGAAGCATTTTTTCCAGTTATTCCATGTCAAACTAAGAAGATGAAAGCTGTTGATTCAAAATATTGAACTCTTATGTGGTATGCATTCACTGTAACTCTCATTGTGAGGTTCAAATAGATGTCCATGCAAGTGGAAAAGACTGTTTAATAAATGCAAATACACCACTGATTACACTCAAGAACAAGAAACCCAGATTAAACCATATCTATGTATATAATAGGTGGATGGAATGGTTCCTATATAGTGCTTTCTACTCGAGCACACAAGAACATCTCATTCACACATTTATACAAGAGCTTTCTATCTGGCATTCCCACTCACTCATGAACACATCGGGATCAACTCAGTGTTCAGTACCTTGCCCAAGGATACTTTGGCATGCAGAATGAAGCAGTCAGGGATCAAACCACAAGCCTTTAACCTCTGCTCTACCTCCTGAGCCACAGCCATAGGAAGTGTGGAGAAGGAAAGAAAATAATCTGAAATATAACACATCATCTGTAAAACATGAGGCAGGCAAGGTTATAATATGGACATGTATGCAGCTGCCAGTAGAATTTGATAACTTGCTGTTTGCTGATGATGTGATAGCTGTACTCTCTGCTGAGATTCAGCCAAATGCTGTAAACTGATCAGATGGCACTTCACAGTAAAAATGGATGATGAGCCAAAGAAAACTGCAACATCGCCCAAGACTCAACCCAGGTGAACAGCTTTTCTTGAACACAAAACTAGATGCAGGGACCCACAAACAAGCAGCACCTGAAGATGGCTGCAGTAAAGGCCTAGCAGA